ACCGTATGTGACACAGTGTGCACACAGCAAGTGCAGCAAGGATTCATTTTAATTATTATGTATTACCAGGAGGTACAGCGTGTTTGTGCCGGTGGGCGAAAGGGCGAGGAGGGGGTGTTATCTGTTTTGCTTCTGTGTCACGTATCACAACCGTAAGGTGATGGGGCTTTCTGAATTGCATTTTAAATTTGGAATCGGGACGTTTGGTGGCTGTAAGTGTTCTATGCCAGCCGTAGTGCAGGGAGAAAGTCTCCAACCAGCGAGCACCCATGTGGCTGCAATAAATAGTCTGAGATAACAGACACCTCTCTGAAAACTTTGGTAGAAAGTCAGCCAGAGGACTCTTCTTTGGGCAGTGACTAATGATGTTTGAATGCTGCTCCTTATGCAAGAGTGATAATACGTAGCGGGTTTTTTTTTTTTCAAATTGAAATGAATTTGTTGTAAAATGAGTCAAAATATAATTTCAGTTGGGTCTTCGAAGGAGGAGCAGAAGCTGGACTCAGAAACCGTGTTTTCTAAGCTGACTCCAACCTTTTCCATTTTTCTGAACTGGAAACTTTTCCTTTCTTTTGCACAGAAATGAGGAGGACTTCTACCCTGCAGGTCTATATATCCCACTGGCTTTCTGCTTAGTGGTGTGATGTAGGTGTGGAAAGTACAAGCTGGAGCATAATTTCAATTAGAATAAATTATTTTTTTGAGGAAGCTTGCCGCCTTTTTTTTTTTTCTTAACGTGACAGGTGGAGCCATTGTGAATGTTTGTTAGAATTTGCTGGTGTGGAAGGGAGCAATGCAGAAAACAGAAAGATATCTGTAAATTGGAAAAAGTGTAGGATGAAACAGCAGAAACGCTGAGAAGCTTGGGGAACTGACTTTGGAAGGAAGACAATACACAAATTCCTCTAGATTATTTTTGCATTTCCTCATTTCTTGCTTATAGCAACTTTAAAACTGGGGTTAACGCTGGGTGCTTTGAGCAGTGTAGGAGGCAGAGCATGGACTTGCAGGAGACAGTGCTACTCATGGTGTTATAGGAGGAAAAAATGGGGTGATATATTTTCATCTTCCTACTGCTGTTGCAAACTCAAGCTTTACGGGACCACTGATTTTTGGGGTTGCTACTGATCTTGGTGTTCCTGGAAAGCCAGGAGTTCTGAGGATGCTGAAAAGATTGAATTACTCTGGGTTGATGTAAATGTAACTGAGAGCTGGATTAGTGAACATTATTTTCTGAGCTGTGTTTAGCATAAGATCCCTTTGAGGTGATGGGGAAGAGCAGACATTACTCCATTCCACAATCATGGTGTTTTCCTGTCTGGGGTCTGTGTCACAGCTACAGACAACCATCTGTAGTCCCCACCAAATAATAATGTAATGTATATTTGTTATTAACCCATTCCTGAAAACAATTAAGGGAATTTGTTAGAGAAGTGTTTACCCTTTGATGCTACAGGTGTGTTAATGTCAATGCCAAGGAAGATGTGGTTCATCGTAGAGGGAGGTAAACCTTTACTATTTTCCATCTAACTGGCACAACTGCTAGTTGCGGTGAGGTTATGGTAGTGTGAGCTTCATCATACCCTACACACAGCAAGAGGTGTGGGTTTTGGCCAAATCTTTACTGTTACTTGAGCCACTTTGGCTAAAGGAGTTGCCATCATCTCACTGTATTCTGCAGGTAGACAAAACACTGTAAGAAGGTAAGAAGCTGCTTGTGAGCACTCACTTTACAGGATTATTTTACTGAATTCAGCACCTGTAAAACACAAGCTCTGGGAACACACCACCAACATATGGATTCATCATACACCTTTTTAATAGCAACAGAATCAACCTAACACAAGTAATGCTATGTCGGAAGCATTGGAGATACAGGGTCTTAGTATGTATTTATAAGGCTCAGGCACAAATATGCATATGTTTTGGAGAAGATAGCATCTGGTTATTAAAAAACATATTTCTGTTGAATTTTTGACTGCTGAGTACTGACAAGAAACATTTTGCATTCTTGAAAACAGATGAGTTTATTTGGCAAGAACGGAGTAAATACTGTGTGACTGACCAGAAACTGATATGAAGCCAGTGTTATTCCAAAAAATTTATTTTAAATTCTTTTAATATGATCTATTAGTTATCTCACTCTGGAAAATCCTGTAGAAAAGTTCCTAAAAAGCATTGTATACACTATAACTGAGACATCAACATTTCAGTAAAGCTTGTTGAAAAAAAAAAATTGAATTTCCTTTGGAAAGACTGGCATTTTGCATAAAGATTATGTACACATACGCATGCATTCAAAGGACATTGTTTCAGCTTGATTTTACTTCAAAAATTGAAAAAAAAAAATCTAATATATAGGTTTTCAGTTTTTGTTTTCCACTTCTGTTTTCTTATTTTATTTGCCACTGACATGCTGAAATTTTTCAGCGAAAAAACTGACAAAAAAAACCCTAATTGCCATCTTCCAAGACAACAAAAAAGTCATTGTGTTTTCAGGTGGTGTGTATCAGTTTGAGCAGTCTATGTTTCAGAGAGAAAATCCATGTTAGAGTTAACTGATGGAAAGCTGAGGCCATGGGTTAATATGATAGCAAGGTGGTTTGTGCTTAAAAGCAAGAGTGATGACTGTTTGCTTCTTAAAGACCTCTGATTGCCCGGCATGCTTGATCGAAATCCAAACCAACTTGCTTTGAATGACAAATTGATTGTTGTGCGCATTTTTGATAATACAGCCATTTGTCTCCTTGGGTATAATACTCTAATCCCCCCTTCATTTATCAGTGGGGAATCAGCAATTCAGCTCTTCCTCAGGCTGAGGTTTGGCACGGTAGCTGTGACACTCCATTGAGCAGTTGCAGACTCCGTGGTGAAGATAACCCCTCCCAGCAGCATCTACGCGCTGGTTCCTCAGCTTGATTTCATAGCACTCTTTAGCACCTGCCGTATTGCTTGCTTTAGAAATGCAAATGCTTAAGTCAACAGCAGACAACAGAATTTTGTCTGTCCTTGAGATTTTAAATTTCTTGTCTCCCTTTCCTCTTTACTTTGCTGCTCTAAGTCTGTTCTCATCTTCTGATTTGGCTGACCAGGAGATGTTGGTTTGGTCTTCAGCCAGCACTGTGCTCCAGAGCTTCAGTCATCCCTCAAAGAAAGTGGTCAACACACAATGACCATTCTATGGTCCTCCTAGTCTTAGCATTTGCAGTACAAAAAGTGCCAATTCCCAGGGAGCAGTGCAAGTTTATGAAATTCAGGGTACCCCATGTGGTGACCATTTCATAACAAGGTGCAGAACCTCTGCAGTTGTTTGTCTACCTCTTCTTTCATGGTTGTGCCATATTTCCTCCATACGCCAGGGTCTGATGGGTTTATGTCACTAACTCTATATATCCCAAATAAGGTAACACCTGTCTTGAGAAAAGCAGAAGTCTTTCACCAGCAGAAGTGAAGGGTGAAAGGAGATGGAAGACAGGGCATCCTTCCCCCTTCTGTGGTGATCCAACACAGACCTTTACCCATACTGACCACCTGGGTGTTGCTGTCAGTCACGATGTTCCCATAGAAAGCCCACATGTAAGACAAAGAGGAAAAGCACACAGTCTGAGCAGGATATGTGCTCTGATAACTTGTGAACACCATCACGTGCCCTTGTAACCACAAGCTCATGGACAGTAATTCCCTCTTGGCATGCAACAGGGCAGGGCTTTTCCACTGCTCACAGCTTACCGAGAAAGCCACAGCACATCTGTTCGGTGGCTTGTGCCATTGAGCATTCTTTGCATAGCCTGCCTGGATAAGCTGTCACTCTTGGTTCTTAAAACAATTCACAATGCAGGGTTAGCCTAGATTGGAGAACCTCTTCTGAGCATCATCTGCAGAGGCCCCTCCGCTCACAAAAACGTGCTGTGCAAGGCTGCCACCATCATGTTTTATGTCAGCAGGGGATCACATCCTCTCTGCTGCAGCAAAGCACACTGGTGTATCTACCCTCCCTCGGTCAGCTGCTGGCTTCTGTTTTGCATTTATTATGTTTCTAGAGCAATCATTTTATTCTTTCTTCCATGCCACCATTCAGGTTTTAGGGATGCTCCTTAGAAGATCTCTTTTCTTCAGAGTCTCTCTGGAAAATTGGTATTGCTTATCCTTTTGAGAAGAAGTTGGCCTCCGTTCTGTTTCTCTGAATGTTAGACTTTGTTGGCTGGGGATAGAAGAGGGAGTGTGTACACAAAGGCTCTCATTAGCCTGGGGATGCTAATTTCCTTAAGCCTCATTGATAGTCAACCAGGGAATAATCCAGAGCACTTAAATTTAGCTTGCTCCTCTGAGTCTCCCTTGAGAAGTGTCTGTCTCTCTCCATTGCCATTACAGATGACTGCGTTGATAAATATTTGTCTTTATGAATACTTCCTTGTTTGCTTGATCTTTAACAGGGTGCATTTTTTCTGTTTCTTTTGTGTTATACTGTGTGTTTTTTATGCTGAGCAGAATCCACCAGATTGGGGGAGTGGGCTGATTCGTTAGTATTATTACATTTTGACTTATAGCTGGTTGCATTTTTAACCTATGAGTCAGGAATTTCTATCACAAACTTCAATTAATATGTATCTCATCAGTGTAGAGTCTAAAAGTTATGGGCAAGCTTATGGTTCGGTTTCACTACATAGTGCTATACTGAATTCAGTAACAATGTTCTTTGTTAGAACAGCCAGGGACATGGCTAGATGATATTTCCTACAAACACTGCCCACAACCCTGCTGCCACCTTATTAAACTGGTCAGATCTGGAATACCAACAGCAAGTGCTTAAAAAGCTTTGAAAAAAATATTTTTGTTTTTCCCATTTATAGAAGTTAAAATTAGCAAAACAAAGCAAAAGCATGCCATTCGTCTCTCAATTACTGTCCCAATTGAATATGCTGGTTGGTGGATGGTATTTGTCAATGTTATCATTCCCAGAATGTACTTCTTAAAAAGCCATTTTTCTATTTCTGTTGCAGTAAACTATTTCATAAAAAATGGTACAGAAGATGTGTTACTGTGCGGCAATAGCACTGATGCTGGGTAAGTGCTTTAAAAATATCTTCACTTCTGATTCGGTTTTGTTTCACTATTTTATTTTTTTTTGCTATGTTTTCCTTCAGTTGTCCTCTTCTCACCACCATGAAGTGGATATTTCAACTTCCTTCTGTCAGTCATAACAGGAGAGAGGATAATGACAATATTGTGCATAGTAATACAATTTTCTGAACTACAGGGAAGAGAAGTTTGTGTGTGTCACTTATTCAGGTCTAAAATCTTTAGGGGCCTTATTACAGTTCTTTTTCAATACGTTTAAATTTCTCAGTAAAATAAATAGTGGAAACTAAGTAACACTTTGGCTGAGTGGAGAGTATTTTAAAGGAAATGAAAGAGGAATGGAAACAGAAAAGCTGGAGGGATTTAGACTGATGATGAATTCTTGGCTTTTGGCAAAGGAAGATAAACAAGTCAACAAATGCTAGTCCCCAAAATAACATGCTTTGGAGGTGGGAAGGTGCTCAGTTTTGAGTTGTGATGTACATTTGTACATGATATGTTTATAGACTATGCGTGTTTCTTTCTTTCATAGTATAAATAGTGAAGAGATCCAGAATAATTCCCGTGGTATACTAAATTGCTCTGCATAAAGGACTTTATTCATATCCCTACCATCTGCAGATGCTAACGGTTCCTCCTGCATCCAGTCCTCAGTGTCTAAGTGCCTTGTCTGAGGGTGTGATTTCACTTGACAGGTTCTCATGATCTTGATGGAAATGAAAGAGTTCAGATGAGATAGAGAGGGATGGGATCTTGTGTGGGCAGAGGAGATTATAAACTGTGCAAATATTGTAGGCTGTTAGGAACTGTAGAAAAAGGAAGAAAAGACTTTAGAGTGGAGGGATGGATGAGCTTTTGATCTAAATACGTGAGAGTATTTGAACCAGTGAAGTGGATGACCTAGGTCAAGTGGGGGGTGAGATGATCTTCTAATGGAGGGACATGTTTTGAGTTGGTAGAACCAAATGTGAAAGACTGAAAAAAAAATTATGGTTTAAATTAGGAAGAACTTAATGTGAAAACAGGTATGTGTGCACAGGGAGTCAGCAGGGAGATGAAGGGAAGATAAAATCTAAACTTGCCTATGGAGAGGAGGACGAGAAAAGCCATGGGGTCCTGGAGAGAGATGCTTTACTTTCTGCTGCCCATCTATATCTGTATTTACATAAAACAAAGACAAAACTGAGGTGTTGGCCTTCCCTCTGCATGTTTTGTGTGCCTGATCTATATTGCCAGTCTCGTTTAGACTGTAAGCTCCTTGGGCAGAGGGCCATGCTTTCCTCTTTGTTTGTTCCACGGAAGGTACAATGTCAGCATTCACTAATTAAGTGTTTTGTTGATTGTAATACATTATATTTATCCAGGCTCAGGCTGGACTCCAAGCCTACTGGGACGTTTCCCGGGGATCCCAGAATTTGGCAATCTACCTATGATGGTGGACTTCTGCCTTTGCTAGCCAAGAGACAATAATGTTGAGCAAAAAATGTTCAGCACAGCAACAATATTTTGCACATCATGAAATATTATTCGTTGTTCTCCCTGATGACCTGAACCATGGTGGTGTCAGGCTGCTAAGGTCACAAACAGTGTCAAAAGGGTTGAATAAGTTATAGGTAGTTTGTGAGGAAAAGTTTAGGGATTACTGCTTTGGAATTGTCCAAATGGTGGGAATTTAAATACCAATCCAATATCCATGGAGTATCTATATATTAGTAGCTTGTATGGATTTAGGGGTTGGGTTCTACCAAAGCATGTTAGCAAAACCACCCTTACCATCAGCAAATTTGCTGATGACACAAAACTGGGAGAGGTAAGTATTCCTACTTACACTGTTCTTTAGCTCAGACTAGCAAGTCTGCTATACTTTGCCCAGAGTTCCTGCCAGTCATCTAGTTGTTTAAAGAAATTAAGATAATTAGGAAGATGATCCTAAGGCCTCAGGGGACTTGCCAAGTCATGTGTTCCCACCTGTTAGGATAGAAAGACCATCATTTACAGGCTGACGTATCTAACAGAATGGGATGTTTTTTTCTCTTATTCTTCAATGGTCAAAGCAAAGAGCAAGTATGTTCAATAGTAAAACACAAAATCTGAATGTATGGGACCTTTTGGGATGGGTTGCACCACAGGATCAGAGGAGGTGAGTTAAGATCATCAGATTGTGGTTCCCCCATCTATAAGAAATGAAACTAATGACAAGTGAGGATGCTTAAATTGGGAACCCATCAAGGCATCAGGAAGGGAGGAAGGGAAAGACAGTTGGCAAGGCCATGTCTGAGTGTTCGCAGCATTTTTGGAGCGTGCTTCTGCTCCCAGATTGGAGCTGGAATTTGTCAGCCTGTGGGGTACACTGAGGACCCAAAGGAAATGTGGGGAAGTGTAGTGTCATGCGTGCACTGCACTATCAGAGGGATTTGTTGTTAGAGTGAGGGATATCTGTGTTGTGGCCGGGATATTAAATCTCGAGGTAATTGACAAAGCCATTTTAGTGCATTTTTAAAAGCATGTTAATGACAGTCTGAGGTTTTGCTGGAGCTGTTATTATAGAAGAGTTAAAAAAAAAAATCTAAATAAATCTACTATGGCAATTATTAGGTGATGAGACTCAAATGGTCTGATGTAAGAGTGTGTAGTGATGGAGACTGCAACCTGAGCTGGAGTAGCAGGCCAAAATCAGCAGGGAAATGATCATCAGTGTATGTTATATCACAGACAACCTAATTATCTCCAAGGTGGGGGCTTTATTACATTACTAGGAGGGACTGTTTTCTGAACAAGCACCCAAACTGCCAATAAAACAGGAGGTAATGGACCTAGCTAATATTGATTCTAGTTCAGGAGGGATTTGAATAGATGTATGTCACTCAGCAGTAGCATGTCTCTAGTACTTTAACTGGCAGCTGGAAGAAAAAAGCATTTATTTATGTTTTTAGGTATGCTCGAGCAACCTCAAGGAGATGCTTTAAAAGTCACATTGCAGAGACATGGTAGGAATACTGGAGAGATGGCATATTTCATGTTTGCACAAGGACTAACCTGTCTGTGTGGTTTCCCACGTGATGCCTCAGAAACTTTCGGAAATTTGATTTTTCATCATTTAATCAAATAGAACTTTTGTGTTGGTTATCATTTTGTTTATCCAACTGCGTTTTTCCCCTTGATGTACTGCAAGAATTTGCTTTGTATTTACAAAGAACAGAAAGTTCAGTGGAAACAAGAAGTAATGTTTGGAGTAGAAGGAAAATCAAATGATTGTGATCAAAGATGTTCTTTGGCTCAAAGTGAATGCTAGTGACGCGTGCTCAATGTTTCACAACAAGCACATTCAGACCACTAGGTTAATGGAAAAATCTTCTGCTTTGAGATGTGTGTCATAGATTGGTCAGACACTGGAAGCAGTGGTAACAGCAAAGCTCTTTTAACAAAAGAAATGTAGTGTATTTGCAGAATTATTTGTATTTCTAGATGTGTTTCGGGGTTAGATTTGGTTGTTCTCTTGGATGTGGCCACACGGCGATTCGTCCAAGTTGGTTCTCCTTGCAATTTCAGCTTCTTATATTTGATTTCATTAAAATAAATGGAGAAAGCTCAAATAGATAGCCTGATTTTCAAATGGATTACAAATTCTATAAATCTGCTTTTCAATTTAATTTCCAGTGTAGTAGCTTATCCAAATTGAACACCTTGTTTTAGCTCTGAGGAAGGTCCAGTAAATATCCAATACAATGATCAGATTTTACCGGATCTTAGTTAGGAGCAGAAGCTGAAAGCTGCTCTAACCTTTGTGAAATCCAGTTTTAGCATCAAGTGGACTATGCCTTGCAAGGGCTGTAGAAGAGCAGGTCATAGCAAATAGCACCATACGCTGCCTATAATCAGGCATCACGGGCCTTTTGAAGGCATCTACCCTTCTGTATGAGAGTGGCCCTTGAGGGCAAAATTACCACATATCCATAGATCAGTATTTATTTATAGTGCCAAAGGGAAGACCTGTAGTTGGACACAATGCTTTAGGGTGTGTGCTCAGGGACATAGAGCAAGGACAAACCCCGGCACTGTGTGTGTGACCCCCGGCAATGGGACATGACCAACACCAGGCAAGAAGCAAGGGAGCCTCCAAGGGCACTGTTGTCAGGAGGAGATGCAGTCCTGATCCCACCTTCAGATCCAATGAGTCATCCTGAGAGCACACCAGCAGTGCCTCTACCAGGCATCGCCCTGCTGCGATCATCAGACCAAATCTCCCAGTGAGTGGACTGTGGGGACCATTTCACATCAGGCCACACCAACCTGCTTCATGCCGCCCATGCAATTACAGCTTGCTCCTTCTCCATTACTATTAGCTGTTCACTTTGATGAGATGAACAATCATAGAATCATAGTATGGTTAGAGTTGTAAGGGACCTTGAAGATCATCTAGTTCCATCCCCCCCGCCATGGGCAGGGACACCTCCCACCAGCCCAGGTTGCTCAAAGCCCTGTCCAACCTGGCCTTGAACACCTCCAGGGATGGGGCATCCACAGCTTCTGTGGGCAACCTGGGCCAGTGTCTCACCACCCTCACAGTAAAGAACTTCTTCCTAATATCTAATCTAAATCTCCTCTCTTTTAGTTTAAAACTGTTACCCCTTGTCCTATCGCTACTGCAAAGTTCCATGCTTCCACACAGCGTAAAGACTTACAGGGGCTGCAGCAGTGTGGAATTATCTGTCCATGAAAAAGGAAGATACATTTCAGCTCTAAAGCATTTCCACTTTTATCCTGTTGTAATTTCACAGGGATATTTTTCTGCTGTGCTTAGACTGCTGTTTTTTCTTCCCCTTCTGCCTGAAGGTTTGGAAGAGCAATAGAAACAGCAAGGAAATTTGTCCATTAGGAGAAAGAGAAACAGACAAGATGCTATCAATGTACAAAGTCAACAAGCAGAAAAAAAAGAGAAACTTATCTTTGTTCTTTTCACTTTTTCATTTGCAACTACAGCAGGG